AAGAAAATTTGAAGAACTTACTTGGCTCAACTTAACTCTACATGATTGAACTCATTTCAAAATAAAGCAATTTAAAATAAGTGAAATATAAAGAAAAACTGCTTAAAAACATAATGTCAATCATGTATGTATGAAAAGATACAATATAACTCTGAGATGTATGCAAAAATATAAATGAACTGTGTATATAAAATACAGTTAACTTTTGTGGGAGTTTCTCTAACCGGCAACTATCACGTAAGAGCTATTGTGATGATGCAATATTTTGCCTCACGCTGCCGGGGCCGTCATATACCTTGCCATAACTATGGAACCTGAACTGCTAAGTGGATCCATCAGTTTATGCTAAAAAGCACTAAAGGAATTATCTAAAAAGTATGACCATTTTCTACCCATGGTGGCTACATGGTTTGGGGGGGGGGGCTGTGATTTGTCTGAACTCTCCCCCATATCGGTGCTCAACACTACTCCCAAAACTTTGATTATATTAGCTCTTATGTTTTAAAAACATACTTCCTTCTATGATTGAGATTAGTTCTAAAAAAACATAGCTCAAAGTCTATCTTGGAAATTAGAGTTTCTCCTCTTGCTTTATTATGAAAGCATATACTCTTTTTCTAAAAACTAGATCAAAGAATTCTTGAAAATCTTAGTTTCGTTCTTTTTTAAATGTGATTTTATGTATAACTCTTTGGGAATACTTAGTCCCCATATACGTTTTTGAAGAAATGAACTTTAAACAAAGTTAAAAGCATTTGCAAAACACTTTTTGAAAAGATTCTATGAAAATACTAGACTTGACTCTGAACCTTCCTTGAATTTATGAATTCAAGGTTGTAATTCATGTTTCTGGATAATTTATAGATGTTTAGAAGTCATTTAGGGCAGTTAAAATCTATAAGAATTGTTGATACACTTTAGAAAGGCTTAAATGGCCTGAATGACGAAAATTAGGTGAAAAACTCCAATTTGAGCGTGTCCGCAGCGCGCCACGCCAGACCCCAACTTCTGAATCTCCATTTGGGTACACTACTGGCGCCTCCCCAGACCCTCTGGTGCAAATAGGGTGCGCCCCGTCTAGCTCCCCAGGTATGCCTGGCGAATTTTTAACTCGTTTTCTGATCCTAAATCATTTTAAATCAATTTCTTTTCTCAATATTTTCTTACATTCACATACTCATAGTATGTACACTAGAATCTAACTCGAAATAACTCTTAACATTGCTAAAACGCCTCAAGAAAACCCATTAGTCATATGTAAGTTCAAGAATGAAAGACAATTCAAGAACATTAATGTTTAACTCTTTTAGGACGAAAATTGATGAATTAAACATGATTGATGCGTGGGTGATTGAATAAAAAACTATGTGATCTCACATACCTTTGTAGGGATCACCCTCGACGAAATCCACAAGCTAATCTCGACAAATCTTTAACGTTCTTCTATTTTCTCCTTTCTCCAAGTCATAGCGTGAAATTCATTTTTCTAAACTTCACTAAAATCTGAATTTATCCCAATTAAACTCCTAAAATCGAATTAGGATAATTAGGTAAGCTAAAAACTGAATTACCCTTCAAAAATTCGGATTTAGACTTTCCTTAGTCTAACAATCCAACTTCTAAAGGGAATAACTTACTCATACGGACTCGAAATTGCGCAAACTTAGCGGCGTTGGAACGAACATTCCAAGAGTTCTCCAACCATATGTGGAAGTGCTCCTAACTCTTCCTGAGCTAGAAGTTATGGCGTTTGAAGTTGATCAAAAACTCACTTTTTCTAATTTAAGTAATTTCCCAGATTTTTAATTATTTCAAAAAATGACTATTTTCAATTCTTAGCTTCTTTCTAACTATTTCAAATTGCAAGATGATACACTAGACTTCAGAAGTGGAAGGTCAAACACATATATAGCCCCTTAAGTTTGTCCCTAAGTTTTATGTTGGCACTCCAACTTAACCTTGTTTCATTTTAACCTCTCAAATCTATTTAGTATTTCCAATACCATTTAAACACAGAATATTGATTGAAAATATTAATGAAATTATTCACCTTTTTAAAATGCATGCGAGATCCTTTTTAACGTTAATATTCAATATTTTCATTGTTAACAACCTTCGCCTCTATTTATTTTATCTTCAACCCCATTTTCCCCTTCATCTCGTTACTCATCCATTTATTTTGGCATAATACATAAATATGTTTTTAACTTGACTTTAGTTGACATCTATGCTCTCCAACTTTGGATGTGTACAAGTAGGGACTTAAGCTTGTATAAAATTAAACAAATAGACACATTCGTCTTACTTGACGTCCTACATGGAAATTTTGTGTCCCACACACATTTTACCATATAGGAAGCATGTGCATGACTGCCTACTTCTTCAATCTTATACAAGTTTAAGTATCTACTTGTGCATACTTTCTTATATATATATATATATATATATATATATATATATATATATATATATATATATATATATATATATATAACTCTCTATATACTAAATATAATATTCTTATTAGTTTGATTTATTTAATTCATTTTCTATATATAAATTCAGAATATCAATAATATTCTACGTTATAAAGGACTAATTAAAATATGGGATAATGCTCAAGTACCCCCTCAACCTATGCCCGAAATCTCAGAGACACACTTATACTATACTAAGGTCCTAATACCCCCTGGACCTATTTTATTTATAATTTTTTACCCCATTTTAGCCTACGTGGCACTATCTTGTGGACCCAACGATGGTTGACTTTTTTTTCAAAGTAGTGCCACATAGGGTAAAAAGGGGTAGAAAATTATTTATAAATTAAGTTCAGGGGGTTAATAGGACCTTAGTATAGTATAAGTGTGTCTCTGGGATTTCGGGCATAGGTTGAGGGGGTACTTGTGCATTTTCCCTTAAAATATTAATATAATAAGTAAAGAGTTATATTGAAGAGAAATGTATGATATCAAGATGTAAAATTATAATTACTCGAATGTTGTCTGAAATTTTGTTGAGGCTACATAAATTTAAAACATGATATAATCATAGTAACATAAACTCGATACTATTTTATTAACATCTATCACTAATCTATGTCAATAATAAATTTTGTAATCTATTGAATACACCTAATTAATACATATTTTTATATTGCTTAAAGATGATAAATTGATATAATTAATGTAAATTCCAAGTAAAATTTGATGAATAGGAGAAAACAAGACATGTGGCGTTATTTAATTAAATTATTATTTTTTTATCTTTTAAATGTTTGTGTAACACGCACCGATCACATACTAGGTAAAACCTTTTTTATTTAAAAGGTATATGGAAACTAGAGTTGGAGGATTAAAATAGAACAGAATTAAAGTGTCAAAATGAGATTTCGAGATGAGCTAAAGGGGTTGTGTATGTGCTTGGCCAAGTCTTCACATCATACATAGGCAATTCCAATACCATTTGCTTAAGCCCAACTAAACTAACCAGCATTTAGGCCAAATGAACAATGATTGAGCTGATGATTCACATCTTCAATCAACTGCTAAAGTAAAAATATATTATTATAAATGAAAAGCTCATGTCCTCAAAGCTGAATTATCATTTTGTTCTTGTTATATTTCTAAAATAAATTAATATTAATATCTATAATTCAATTAATTAAATATTAAATAATAGTTATATTAAAATTCATGCATCAAACAAGATCTTAATGCATCATATATTCATGTATTAATTAAATGTGAGTAATGAAGAGTCTAATAATCTTTAAATTTTAATTTGTAAGATAAATGGAGTAATGAAGAGACTATCAATACACTCACAACACATTATTTGTACTCCTTCATTTATTCAAATATGTGATCATATTGCATTCTATAGTAGGTTATCAGTTGTAAAATTTCCATTACCAGTTTGTAATTATAAGAATTCGTACTATTTTATTTATTCATATTCTTTAAAATTTCATGCATATCCATCTTCTTTTTCTCGAGAAATATGTAAATTATGATAGTTACAAGATGAATATACTCTAATAAGAAATTGTAAGTGAATTTTTATTTTTCATATATCCATCTTTTTGAGTTATTAAATATAACTTCGTAATTGATTATTATATTTTTGTGTTCATCCTTTATTCTATCTTTAGGATATATATGTAAAGCTAATCATATGTTGTATTTATTATTAATTATTTTGAGGGTAAACATGTTAAATCCCATAGAATAATAATTGTCTTCTTCATTGTTTGATAACCATTTATCTTTTTAAAACAACATATTTGTACTTTTTCCTTTTTATGCGTAATTTCAAATGTTTAAAAAATTCATGTACTTATTATTAAATAGAGGTACAAAATAAGTGCAAAAGTAAAAAATAAAATAAAATTATGTATAGTATAAAAATGACGAAATGATACATTGAATAATATTGTTTTAGAATTCATATATATATATATATATATATATATATATATATATATATATATATATAAAATTCAACAAATATAGTGTATCTTTATTCCTAACATATTCATACTTTCTTTTATGTTTATTTTCTTTATTATTATTATTATTATTATTTTTTATACATATGATATGTTTTGTCTACAGTAAGTCGACTTCTAGCAAAATGTAATTCAATTAGTATGAAAATATTTTTGTCTATATATTTTAGTGTGATGTCTTTTATTATGGATGCCATGTCTTTATTTACTTCTTCTTTCCTTTTTTTTCGATTGAAATTGTAATTTTTTCTATAAATTTGATGGTGTATTGGCCAAACATTTTGTAATATTTTTCTTTATACGTATTTTTTTAGACAATTTTTTATCACTAAAACTTATGTCTAGTAATTAAAATATATTAATTCCTCTAATATAATAAAAAAGTTATTTTTCATGAAGTATTTAAAATATTCAACCTCAACATCTAATACAGAATTTCATGTTATATTTGGTACAAAATTAATATCTTTTGTCAATTTAAATATGAAAGGACTTAGATTTGAACTTAGTTATATACATTAACTTTTCTAATATCAATTAGGGGACAAACCTGTTCGAGAATTAGTTTGTCATATAAGAGCCAAAAAAATACAAAACTCAGGTAATCATATACAAGTATGCATCGACATCTCGAGTTCTTCACCAAAAACATCAAGGCAAACGAAAAGATGTGAAATTTTGCCAGTTACTAGTAACAGAACGACTGGAAGACCCTTCGAACCTCAAGCTCCTGAATCCAACGAAAGAAAGACAACGATTAACAAGAGGAAGAAAATTTACATGGGAAACATATCGTTCTAATGGATCTACAAGAATTAACATGGAACACACGTGCTACACGTATGCCTAGAAACTAGTTTTTTCAATATCACGATTGAAAACAAAGCTAATAGAGTGAATTTACCCGCTGGTTGAGCTGTGAATTGTATGAGAAGCAAGGAGAATGTCTCTAATTAGTTGAAGTTCCTTGACAACATCCCCAATATCCATCCTTTCTCTCGGGGATTCAGCTGAACATGCAACTCCAATCTGTATTATCGAGACCAAGCATTCCTGTGCTTGTTTTATACTAGTATCATCTTGATTGATAAGTACTCCTTCTTCGTCGGCCTCTCGTCTTTCTCTGCTGTTGCTAGGTAGAAGCATGGGTTCTATTATTTCATCAAGTAAAGCTGTCTTAGCAAAACTGTGAAGAGTCTGTCCATTTTCGAACATCCTGTCAGTAGGTCTCTTTCCAGTAAACATCTCTAGAAGAAGTATCCCATAGCTGTAAACATCACCAAATTCAGAAGCCTTACCTCCCATGCTGTACTCTGCCCACAGAGGAAAGACCGGAGAAGACATGTAGAATCAATATGAAAACTTTCTCAAGAAGACACAAGAAAAGACCCAAAATAGTCCCTTATCTTTGGGCTAAGACTTAAAATTCATCCTTGTTTTTTCACATGGAGTACTTGTAGTCCCTATGTTTGCAATATTGGTGCATGTACTTTTGGTGCTCCCTCAAATATCCGTGTATTTAATACATTGGTTTTGTCCATAATCTAGTGTATAAAATGTTCATTGCAGCTAAACCAAGAATTTACCTTTGTTTTTTTCGAACTATATCAATTTATTGTAAACAAATAACGTTGCAAGGAAAGAAAATTTTGTACTGTTGCATGTGAAATCTAACGCAATGAACCTCTCAATCTCAATTAAAAAAAGAAGAACAAGTTTGAGGGCGGACTAAAACTGCAGCAATACTATAAACACAGAGGGCTGTTAGGGCTCCGAACAAAGATACCTTTGAGTCTAAATTCAATGATACGGGACTATCAACTATGTTACCTGGTGCAGCATATCCAATGAACTACATATGCTCATGGCATCTGAGAAAAACATTGTTAATCCAAAATCAGCTACATGGGCAGTCATGTTATTGTCGAAAACAATGTTGTCCGGCTTCAGATCACAGTACACAATTGGATTGTGGCAATGATGATGAAGATATTCCAGTGCACAAGCCACATCCATAGAAATGGTTAGTCTTTCAACTAGACCTAGTATCCTCACCTCATTAGTTGAGGTATCAGCTCCCGGAATAGGATGCAACCAATTTTCTAAGCTCCCATTAGGCATGTATTCGTAAACTAAAGCTATAAACGGATTACCCTCAAAATCACTAGTCGAACAGGCAGCATAGATCTTCACAAGATTTTGATGCCTTATGTTTCTCAAGGCTTCACACTGAGCCATGAAGTTCTTAGAAGTAGCCCCTTGTTGTTCAATGTTTATCACCTTCACCGCAACCATACATTCACCTGGATCAAGTACCCCTTTGTAAACAGAAATAAAGCTACCATTTCCAATCAAATTGGCAGAAGAGAATCCATTTGTCGCTCTATATAGGCTCTCATAAGTAACCGGTGAAGATGTTAAAGAAGGATCTCCCCTTGCCTTCCTTAACCGAATGATTATGACTAAAGACATGATGAAAACCAGTGCAACAAGTCCAGAAAGAAGAGGGATCATTAGCTTAATGCTTCTGGACTTATCTCTTCCGTCAGGCTCAGCGTTCGGACATATTGGCAACTCGAGTTCTGGTATACCCCCACAAAGTTTCCTATTCCCCGATACGGATATTGCAGTTGCATTCCTGAAAACACCTTCAGTAGGCAACTGACCTTCAAGCTGGTTGAAAGACAAGTTCACTTTTTTTAAGGAAATGAGCTGAAGAGATGTTGGAATCTTCCCAGATAAATTGTTGCGCGAAACATCCAATTCTTCGAGACCTTTCAAAGAACTAATGGATGAAGGAATTATACCTTCAAAGAAGTTTCCAGATAAAACAAGGCTTGCCAAAGCTACACACCTCCCTATACTACTAGGAATTTTCCCAGACAACATGTTATTAGAAATATCCAATCTTTCAAGATTATTGAGACCTCCAATTTCAACTGATAGCGGACCGGACAATTGATTGTCAGCAAGATTAAGAGAAGTTTTTAAGGAAGACAAACTCATAAATCCATCTGGTATGGTACCACTAAGATGATTCTGAGAAAGGTCTAAATCTTGCAAGTACCGGAAATCGCCAAAACTAAGGGGAATGTTACCAGTTAACTCATTATTTTCCAGATGAAGTGAATATAATCGAGTCATGTTAGATATAGAAGATGGAATACTTCCTGAAAACTTGTTTTCGGACAAATCCACTAACTGAAGCCTACGAAGATTGCCAACGACTTCAGGAATGCTACCAGAAAAATGATTCTTGTGCAGTCGCAATGACTTCAAGTTAACAAGATTCCCTATTCCTGAATGAATACTACCAAATAGTTGATTACCCTCCCAATCTTAGTGACAGAAGATCCGTCGATAAATTTGCAATATAATCACGTAGCTCACCTCCAAATCTGCAATCACTCAAATCCATAACTTGCAAGTTTCTGCATCTACTCAAAGAATTGACAAACCTCATGTCATCAACTTCTCCTGTCCCAAAGGAATTTGATGCAATAATCAATCACCATAGATCCGATAACCCCCCAAAGTCGATTGACACTTTGCCAGTGAACATGCTACCATATGCATCAAGTTCAACTAGATTTGAAGCATTAGATAATGACTTTGGATGGGGCTCAGTACACCACTTATGACCAATCTTAATAACTTTCAACTTAACAAAACTCACACATAGTCTGATGGCAAAGTCCATACAAGTGATTATCACAACTGTGAATATCCCAAGAGATGAAAGATCGTCACTGTCCCCAGGTGGAACACCAGATACCTATTTATTCCCCAACCAAGACATTCCATGCCTTCCATTGGCTACAAGAACTAGGAATAGTTCCTTCCAAATTGTTAACCGATAAGGAAAGTGATTTGATTGCGGAAAGATTACCTAAGGTTTCCGGGATTGATCCAGTGAGGTTGTTGTTATGAACTTCCAATCTCTCAAGCTTTTGCAATGAACCAAACTCAAATGGAATCTTTCCAGACAACTGATTCCAACCAACACCAAGTTTAACAAGATTCAAACAACGAGAAAGATTTATCGGTATCTCTCCAGAAAATGAGTTATTAGTCAAACTAAGATGCTGAAGCCTAAAAAAACCACCAATCTGTGGTGGGATTTTTCCATGGAAATTGTTGAGCTCAAGTTTGATACTAGTAAGAAAAGTAAGATTTCCTATGAAAGGTGACAAAGTACCTGCTAAGTCAAGTGATGTTAAGTGCAGTTGAGTGACTCTTTGAGGAGGATGGCCACAAATGACACCTTCCCAGCTGCAGAAATGGACTGAATTATTCCATGAAGTAAAAATACCATGAGGATCTTGAGTTATCTTTTCTTTGATGGCAAGTAAGGCTTGCATATCAGTTTCATTACCATTATGTAACTTCAAGGCATGTGAGATATTGAACATGAATGAAAGAAGGGTAATTAGATAGAAAACATAAGAACAGAATGACATTGAAATCTTCAAGTCTAGAGAAAAAACCATACTTCTTACAAACAATGTTTGTTCTGTGCTTTTTGGTGTGAAAAATCCTTTCTTTTCTTCTTTTTATGCTTTGTACTCTATTTATTCACTTGGCATTTATTAAAAATACCTCTACTTTTTCCATTCTTGGACTAAGAACAGAGAAATGTGATCCTTTCTGCAGCCAATGAAGCAAATAGAGCCCTTATATACTTAAGGCAGAGGGAGATTTTAAGGAAAAATGTGCCTAGACAAACATTTGGTCAAGTCAACGTTTAGCCATGTTTTGCTAACCATTAGATGATAATTCAGGTATGAAAAACTCAGACTCTTAATATACATACAAAGGTGATCCTTAGTGCAGCCAATGAAGCATTGGAAATTTACATGCTCCACTTTTTCTATTTAGAGTGCAACAAATTATGACCATTTCAACAAATTTACATGCTCCACTTTTTCTATTTCAGGAATATGTAGTGATATTAAGGAAGATTAGATGATAATAATAGTTACATTGTAATTAGTGAAAAGCTAGTTGAAGTTATGGTTATATCAACAATCCATGTCATATTGAGACCTGTCTAATCAAGAATCTGATTCTTTTTCTACCTTTTGCCCTTTGATTCTCTCTTAAATGGAGTATAAATATATACTGTCTCAATTATATAAAAACAAAATTTAAGTGGAAAGAAAAAACTTGGGATACTTCTAATTTAAATAAACTATATTTTTTTCCTTTGTAAACATTTTTAAACTTGACATAAATTATTAGTTTCGACTCCGTACTATTTACAATTTTAAAAATACTCATCTACTTAAACACCTAAACTTAGATACACTCCCGATATGCCAAATGATATAGCATGTGATCTTAAATTCTTTAGGAGCAAGAGACTATTAATAAATATGCGAGAAAAGTGTTAAAAATTCTATAAACTTGACGAAAATTTAGCTATCTATTTAATTAGTATTGCAAGATCGAGGTATAAAATCTTGCAACTAATATGACGTACCTAGTGTATAACTGAGAGGAGTAATTATGTAAAGACAGTAAATAAGACAATGTTCATTTATTATGTCAGTTCTGGTACAAAGGAAGGGTAAAGTGATAAAAGAGATGTACAACATTTACTAATATTTTTTGTAACAACCTTTTTAACTTGGAAAACACAAATTGGAGTTTCAGAATTGTGACAACGGACAAGAATCTATTATCTGTAAATTTGGTTTTTTGAATCTCTCAAACAAATTATTTGAAGGTCAAATTTTCACCACCAAATTATGACACATGTGGTAAGGTAAATATTTACCCGTATAAGATATTTACATTGAACCTATAAATATAAGATGTGTTTTATCATGTACATTTGTTACTTAAAAGTACTCAAATTAGTGGTGGACTCAATATTTTTGCTTAGGGGTTTAAAGTATTAAATAAAAAGTTCGTGTGGTAATGCAAGTGCGTGGTGAACGAAGTAGTCTCTCGGGATTCTCTTTGTACAAGAACCATAGATATTTCATTGGTTCATAAAAGTAAAGACTAAACTAATCAAAGATATCAAGGAACAACATACAATAATAAGAATTTTAGTAGATAGATTGTATTACATACGTTAATTCCTAAAACAAGTGAAAATTAAATAATGAAAAAAGAGTGCGAGACGGTTAAGAAAGATATTTAACTAATCAAGTTAAATTTAACTTACTTTATCATACCGCATTAAGCATTTCTTTCCACATTTATCATACCGCATTAAGCATTCTCAATTTTTTTTGTGCTTTTTGTACTTTTATTTTGTAATGTTTTACTTTGTTTTTCACTTTTTAAAAATTTTAAATTAATAACCATTCAATGAGATATCATATATTATTATAAGTAGGAAGCTCCTAACTTCAAAGTTAAATTACCATTTTACCTCTAAAATAAATTAATATTAATATCTATTTAATTAATTAAATATTAAATAAAAGTAATATTTAAATTCATGCATCAAATAAGATCTTAATGCATCATATATTCATGTACTAATTAAATGTAGATAATGAAGAGTCTAATAACCTTTCAATTTTAATTTGTAAGATAAGTGAAAGTAATGAAGAGTCTATCAAACACACTCACACCACATTATTTATATTCCTTGTGTTATTCAAATTTGTAATCATCTTGCATTCTACAGTAGGTTAGTCTACATATTTTGTAAAATTTTCATTACCAGTTTGTAATTATAAGAATTCTTAGTATTTTATTTATTTGTATTCTTTAAAATTTCATGCATATCATCTTTTTTTTGTTGAGAAATATGTAAAATATGATAGTTACAAGATGAATATATTCTAATATGAAGTTGTAAGTAAATATTTATTTTTCATATCTAGCTCGTTTTGAGTTTTTAAATATAACTTCGTAGTTGATTACTGCATTTTTATATTTAACCTTTCTTCTATTTTTAGGATATATATAGTAAAGCTAATCACATTTTGTATTTATCATTAATTATTTTGAGGGTAAACATGTTAAATCCCATAGAATAATAATTATGTCTTTTTCAATTAGGGGACAAACGTGCGATGCACGTTCTGAGAACTAGTTACTATCAAAAATCATCAAGATCTTCTGAAAGTGTGTAAGAATAAACTTACTAATATTATAATGCATATTCAGAAGATTAAAAAATAGCATCGTCAATTTCTTTAGTTCATATAGTTCACTTTACTAGGTTATTCATAATTTCTAAAACAACAAACAACGAATAAATCAAATAAGTTAGTTTGTATCTATCTAAAATAAAACTAAAATACAAAAAAATTTCATGAATTCTATAAATCAATATTTTTTTAAGGATGTTGATGATATTTAAGTTTCTTCATTCAATCACATCTAATTTGTCTTTTTTTTTTAAAAAAAATAAATTATATTTCTATCTCAATTTAAGTTAAATGTAATTCATCAATTTTTAGAAGAGTTATTCAAGTTAATACATTAAAAAATTACGTTGAAACAAAATGAATAACACATATAAAAGAATAAAAAAAGAAAGAAAAAGAAAAGGAACGTGTGTAATAAATTTAAACAAAAAAAAAACAAATTTAAAAGAAGAAATGGAATAAAAGGAAAAAACATAATGAAAAAGAAGAAGGTGTAAGCCAAAAGTTCCATTTCCCAAAGCATTAAATGAGGAGAAAAATTGTTGTCCATTGGAATCAAAGCCATTGACACTAACGATTTTTTCGCACATCTTATCCATTAAGACAAGCCTAAACTTTGTTTTAAGGGAGTTCATATATATATATATATATATATATATATATATATATATATATATATATATATATATATATATATATATATATATATATATATATATATAATCAAAATTTGATGTTATATATTTAGTGTAATTTTTTGTCGACGGGGTTTGGCTGACCCCCCTAGGGTCCACCTATGTCTGCCCCTGGTCCAGGGGCGTGCACAATGGTGTCCATTTCATAATCATGCTTCCTTCTCTATTCCTCGCAAGTTCATCACATGATTTTTTTTAGAAACTATACTCTCAACAGGAGAGGCATGAGGTCCATCAACTGGAAGGTACTTTCCCGCCCCGAGTCAACACCCTAGACGCAATATGGAACCTAGGATCACCAGTGATCCCAATCTAACCATGAGTCTGACATATATCAAACCTAATGGATATAACTGAGAAAAACATGTACTATGTGGAAGATAAACACAGTGCATATCTAAACAAAGGAAAATCCAACTAGTTTAAATATATAAGAATAATAATAAGAGTTTAGTGATAACTCGAACAACCACTTAGAAACTCAAGCTGAATCTACTACTATGTCTGAAAAGTATCTAACTAAGTTGAGTTGCTGGGTAATGCCCAACTAACTCTAAGAAAACTAAAAATTGAAGTAAACATTGGATCGAAAACATTCTATTGTCCTTGAAGTATGAGGACTCACCACTAAAAATGCTAAAGTCGAATCAAGAATAGAGAATCGATCTAAGCATGATTTGGATGCTGAGTGTCTGAACCTACATCATGAAATGATGTAGTGCAAAAATATGCGTCAATACTTTGAATATACTGAGCATGTGATATAGATATCCTAAGCTAAACAATGCATAACGGAGTAATGATATAATCTAAATAAGGATATAGATATGTAGTAAAGTATATATAAAAGATAAACTAGATGCAATGACCAAGTACTAATCATGAAGATAACATATTGAATTGAACTACTGAAATCCTAGTCAATGCACTAAGATTCTGAATATGAAAGATATATTAACCGAGATAAACCATTTGAGTTAGATGTGGAGTCCGATGTGTACACCCTATCGAGAAGACTTAATATACCTTGTTAGGGTTACAAAGGCATGACTTTGGCATGATCACTAAAATTGATGCCCAACAAAGGGGACTTATCAACCTTTGAGGGCATGTAGTTCTAGGACTTTGAGGTACCGTAAATCCTAGTCCAACTCGGTGATAAGTCTATTCCCATAAATACATATGAAGCTAAACTACACTAAATATTAAATAGCTCAAAATACTGACATGCTAATTGAGAATGCGACATTTATATGCTGAGAATGTAACATTTGAAATCTAGAGAATGATTTTTTGTTTAACTGACCTAGAAAGTATAATCCAATGAGTTTTATACAAGGAATTCAGCAACGTATCCAAGAAAACTTGTTATTTAGACTATGGATACTATAGCAGCTGAAATCACCACAACTCCCAAGATTTTATAAACCCTAGGACTAAATAAGTTATGTAGAATCAAGAAACCGACTGAAGGACCTAGTGGATGTAAGGAACCCACTAGTTAAATCCCACATACCCGATGACAAAATCTATGGAGAAATCCTTTGGATTTTGGGGCTGAACTTTGAACGACACTGTTGCTTGTTCTTGTAAGAAATCAACACCTCTTTCTCTTCTTTTCGTTCTAACTTGGATATGTTTTTGTAGAATGAGGGTTCTGGGTATGTCTGACTAGATTATTTGGCTTAGATTGAGTAAAACGATGTAGTTTAGGCATCAAACAACGTAGTTTAAGTGCCCAAAGCATAGGGGAAAAGAAAAAAATGACCTTGACTTAAAGTTGACGAAGTACCACTCATGAGGGGACTAGCAGGCCGTCGTTTGTACCACTGCCCATCAATTGGATTGTGGCTCGAGTTTTGCTCGATAAGGCTTCATTAAAATGACCATAACTTTTTACTCTGAACTTAGAATTTAGAAAACTCGGTGGTGTTGGAAAGAAGACTCTATTATCTTAGTTTGATAATTTATGGGTTACCTGATTTATTTTGTGCTAAAATATATGACCATTTGAAGTTGAACCAAAATCCATTTTTCTCTAAATAGATGCTGACCCTCACATACGGCTAGTCTTATGGTTCGTATGTCCAACCACAGACCGTATGTGTTGGCTATGGGTAGGATCAAAGATCAC